AGCATGTTTTGTTATTTTGATGACCTATAATGACCTCTACAGTCAAGCTCACATTGCCTATATAATGGTTAAGTCTTATTTGTATGTTCCTGCCAAAGATTAGTTAATGGGCTTTATTTTTTAGTGTGATCATGTCCCAAACACTCATATACACATACACAGAAGTCTCCAATGTGTATGTGAACTGGATGAGGCCGAACGTGGCATAAGACTGCCTTTCTAGAGAAAGACCTACCTCTGAAAACTATGATTATTATATATATATATATATATATATATATATATATATATATATATTAAGACATTTTTATGTTATACATTCGTTTTATCATACATATATATATATATATATTATAATTTAAAAATATATATATATATATATGTCCATTTCATAATATATATATATGTCCATTTCATAATATATATATATGTCCATTTAATAATATATATATATATATATATATGTCCATTTCATAATATATATATATATATATATATATATATATATATATATATGTCCATTTCATAATATATATATATATATATATATATTTATATATATATATATATATATATATATATATATATATATATATATTATGAAATTGATATATATATATATACACACCGTTGGATTTTACTAGGCAAGTTAATGTTTTCTCAATACATTGTTATAAACTAAACAATAATGGCCAGTCTTTTAGGATTTACTTATATTTTATTTATATGATACATATCTCGTTTCAATTTCAGCTTGTGATATCTGTTTTTATATTAAAAATTTACATTAACTTTTTGGTTGTGGGGAGACTTTATTATGCAACACCAGAGTTGTTTTCTTTATGATCGATGAGTGACTTGTATTGTAATGTTTTGGCAATTCTCATGCAACGTGTTTTGGATTTTCCTGAACTGTCTGGAATCTTAATATTAACAGAACTTCTTCGTTCAGAATGAATAAATCCTCACGCGTGAGAGACATTATCCATTCGAAACTACTCAAGATATCGTTACCATATCTGAATACTTAAGTTCTCATATCCATAGACAGAACGAATATCTGTAGCCATCTTTTTCTTAATTCATACAGTGTTTAATGTCTGATGAGCCTTCTTCCTGGGTCAAATGGCCATCTAGCTCAATAGGATAAACTTGTGCACCATATGTACGCATTGTCTAGCTATGTCCCAGTTAGGGGCAAATATTTGCCCCCGAGCAAAAAAAAAAACTGGATCAAAATACTACGAAAGTGTAAAAATAGATTTTAATACCAGCAATACATTTTTGCAAAAGGTTACTCCCAGCAATTAATTTTTGAAGATAAAATTATTACCAGCAATACATTTTTTTAGAAAAAATATTAGCAGCAATACATTTTTGAAAAAAAGTAAATTACTAACAAAAAATCATCTTGTCGTCATTAAATAACCCACTGATGTTGATATGCCGTAAAACAAAACCAACAAAACCAAATCTTCTACAAACTGATTTTTTATAAAGAAAGAATACATATTCAAAATTAAAATCAAACTTATCCTACAAAAGAAAACATCTTGTCGAACCTTAAAAATCTTGACACATTAAATAAAAATTGAAGTGGATATGCCGTAAACCAAACCAAAAACAAAAAATAAACCAAATCTAAAAATCTCCTATAAAGAGGTGTTGATATTTCTTACAAAGAATATATATTCTATGCATACGAACCTATCCTAAAAATCTTGACAGCATTAAATAAAACATTGAGGTAGTTGATATGTCGTAAAATAAAATAAACCAAACCAAATCTCCTACAAACTGATTTCTTACAAAGAATATATATTCTATTCATACGAACCTAACCTAAAAATCTTGACAGCATTAAATAAAACATTGAGGTGTTGATATGTCGTAAAATAAAATAAGAACCTATCCTAAAAAAACCAAATAAAACATTGAGGTGTTGATATGTCGTAAAATAAAATCCAAACCAAATCTCCTACAAACTTTTTTACAAAGAATATATATTCTATTCATAAGAACCTATCCTAAAAATCTTGACAGCATTAAATAAAACATTGAGGTGTTGATATGTCGTAAAATAAAATAAACCAAACCAAATCTCCTACAAACTGATTTCTTACAAAGAATATATATTCTATTCATACGAACCTATCCTAAAAATCTTGACATCATTAAATAAAACATTGAGGTGTTGATATGTCGTAAAATAAAATAAACCAAACCAAATCTCCTACAAACTGATTTTTTACAAAGAATATATATTCTATTCATAAGAACCTATCCTAAAAATCTTGACAGCATTAAATAAAACATTGAGGTGTTGATATGTCGTAAAATAAAATAAACCAAACCAAATCTCCTACAAACTGATTTCTTACAAAGAATATATATTCTATTCATACGAAACTATCCTAAAAAACTGATTTTTTCGTAAAATAAAAGAAAATATATTCTATTCATAAGATATATTATCATAAGAAAAAATCTTGACAGCATTAAATAAAACATTGAGGTGTTGATATGTCGTAAAATAAAATAAACCAAACCAAATCTCCTACAAACTGATTTTTTACAAAGAATATATATTCTATTCATAAGAACCTATCCTAAAAATCTTGACAGCATTAAATAAAACATTGAGGTGTTGATATGTCGTAAAATAAAATAAACCAAACCAAATCTCCTACAAACTGATTTTTTACAAAGAATATATATTCTATTCATAAGAACCTATCCTAAAAATCTTGACAGCATTAAATAAAACATTGAGGTGTTGATATGTCGTAAAATAAAATAAACCAAACCAAATCTCCTACAAACTGATTTCTTACAAAAATATATATTCTATTCAATATATTCTATTCAAAGAATATATATTCTATTCATACGAAACTATCCTAAAAATCTTGTCGGCATTAAATAAAACATTGAGGTGTTGATATGTCGTAAAATAAAATAAACCAAACCAAATCTCCTACAAACTGATTTTTTACAAAGAATATATATTCTATTCATAAGAACCTATCCTAAAAATCTTGACAGCATTAAATAAAACATTGAGGTGTTGATATGTCGTAAAATAAAATAAACCAAACCAAATCTCCTACAAACTGATTTCTTACAAAGAATATATATTCTATTCATACGAAACTATCCTAAAAATCTTGTCGGCATTAAATAAAACATTGAGGTGTTGATATGTCGTAAAATAAAATAAACCGAACAAACCAACATTGAAAGAAGCTACAAAACCAAAACATTACTTTGAGAACACGTGTCATTTTTTTTAACCATTTCACCCCAAGGAAGGCAGTAATATCACTAAGACGCAAGAATTTACTGAGAGTGGAAGAGATTTAGAAAATGAACGAAGATAAATGACAATAAAAGAAGAGAGTTCAGAAAAACAGAAGATGGCGTTTGGTGTGAGATTAAAAGTTTGAATGACGTAGTTGACAAGAAAGCAAGAATCGAAAGATAGCTCCAGAGAAAATAAATGTGAGAGAAGAAACTATAAGAATAGAACTTACGGTTGTATTTATCTATTTCAACAGTATAATAATTATGTGATCTAGCTGCCGATTTAGTACTATGTTTAAATTCATGGCGTCGAGGTGCCAAAGATGAAATCTCATTAGAACAATTTCCATGAAAATATTTATCGAAACGACACAGGGAAGTTATGTTATGGCGAGGGGGGAATTACTATACACAGTTGAACTGGCGAACCGTAAGTTCTATGCTAACAGTTTCTTTTTTTTTCGCGCTTCTCACTTATGGAAATCTCTTCCGGTCCCATGCTTTCCAGACAAATTTGATGTTCAAAATTTAAATGCAATGTCAATCGTTATCTACTTTCTTCTTGATTATTCTTCTTTTATTCTTCTTGCTCTTTTATAATGTTTCGCTTTTTTTCTTATTCTTTCACACTCAGTAACCAATTGTAACTCTTGAGTTTGGTTTGGTTTCTTTAACGGCATATCAACACCTTATGGGTCATTTAATACCGAAATTTAATTTCCTTTGGAGCTTTGGTCATTTCCTTTTTTTACTATTAAAATCTTTTGCTGGAAATATTTTTTATTACTGTCTATTGCTGGAAATGTTTAGCATAAAAATGTTTCTTTATACATTAATAGTGTTTTGACCCGAGTTTAGAGGTTCACTATTTGCCGGTAGCTGGGGCCCTAACAGGTGCTACCACTCCGGTCTTGGGGCGAAATAATTAAAAAATAATAATTAAAAAATATAAAGCAAAAACAATTAAAAATAATTTTTAAAAAAGTAAAGGAAAAACAAAAAAAGAATATCTGAAAGGAACTCCGGGTGCTCAGCTGCACACTGACACTACGGCCACACTTGGTTATGGGACTAATGATGATGGTGATTATGATGAAAAATGGAATTTAAAATTTTCAATATGAATGAAGAATTTCTAAATTATTTTTTTTTTAATTTCTGTCTTAGTATTTTTTGAATTTTCTAAGGAAATTTTTACTGAGAAATAATAGTTTATTTTGCGGAACTTGTGTTAAAATTACGTCGCTCAAGTGAATACAAAAGTTTAAACTCATTGCCGCTTCTCAATAAATTCAGCTCTTGAAAACAGCCAGGTCACCATTAGATGAGCCATTTAGTTCCGTTTTAAACTATCAGAATATAGAACATTTCATTTAATTATATTTCTTTTCTCGAAATACAGGCGTACGACAACAACAACAACAACAAAAAAAAGAAAATATATTTCTATAAAGAATAAAAAGATACCATTTGAAGAGTAAATAAAAGATCCTCTCAACGATATATATATATATATGTGTGTGTGTGTGTGTGTGTGTGTGTGTGTGTGTGTGTGTGTGTGTGTGTGTGCAGCCAAAATCTGAAGTCTTATATAGTTTCATTTAATTTCTCTGCTCTAATTTAGTCTTCCAATGGCTGAGGGAATCTTGTAACAGTAAATAGCCTCTTGCCAGCGTATCTTTTCCCTCCGCCATTCCTTAAGTGTAGCGCCTGATCTTGTCCATCGATCGCCCGACCAAAATGGCGGCTAGAGGAGCAGTAGGCGGGCGGGGAGAAAGCAACGTCAAGAAAGCGAGAATAAATATGGCGTGTAAAGATAGAAACACAATATTGTGAGACTTCCTTTGATTATGTTGGCATTTTAAAAAAAATGGCTCTTTTTTCGGATCCAAGACAGCCTGTCAATAAATCAATGGCAGAATTAAATGATGCATAATTCCAGGTGGTATTATTGGCCCTATCTTCTTCGTTCAATTGTTCTTTTTGTTTACTTATCTGAATTTTGTTTGACTATTTCTCTGCCCATTACAATTAGATTGTTCTGTTTATTGCATGCTTCTTTTCAATTTCAGACAAAGTTTTATCATAAGCAAATCCTGTTGCAACATTATATATATTTCGGCTTCAGTCACTTTCCCACCGCCATAACGTTGTCTCACTGTGTCTTTTCTATAAATACGTTCATGGTAATTGTTCGGATGAGCTCTTCGCTATGTTTTTAAATTTAAGCGCGGTATTAAACTGGCGTCGAGATCTCATCAATTTACAGTCGAGCTAGCTAAATATAGAAGTAAATTCTATGCTAACTGTTTAATTTCTTGCAATTCTCGCTCGTGAAACTGCCTTCTGGTTCCAGGGTTTCCAGCCAACTTTAATTTTAAACAAAAATTTAAATGCATTGTGAATCACTATCGACCGTCCTTCGGATTAATCTTTTCTCTTACCGCATATTATTGTTTCTGTTCCTAATTTTTCCACAACCTGTAAGCACTTGTGTCTTAGTGGCTTTACTGCCTTGCATAGATAGATAGATAGATAGATAGATAGATAGATAGATAGATAGATATCAGTGATAGAAAGTTTTAGGAGGATCTAATGTTATATCCTTAAAAAGGTTACAAACAGACAAAGGTGGCACTCGAGTGAAAGAACAGCAACCCGTGCGTAGATTAAAGAAAAGGCGTTTATTGTAAAAGAGAATACACTACTTAAAGACAGGGAACTGGGTGAGAGGCTAGTAATTCCCAAAGCAAGAATATCTACCAACCCTTCAACGTAGCCTCGTCTAGGTTCCTTTGACCAGCACAGCTGCAGACGTATCTCCAACTTGCCGAAGCAAGGGTATTTACCTTACCTACCCGCGAGGCAGGATGTGGCACAAAGCCGTTTTTTAATGCGGGGTAAAACCGAGCCCGTAGACTCTGTGTACACGGGGTCGGGTAGTCGTCTACCACACCAAACGAGAGACTGACCTTCGGCATAGCCTTGTCCGTGTTCCTCTCTGTCTGAATGCAGAGAGTTTGTCCAGCACAGCTAGAGACGAATCTCCATCTAATTGCCAAAGCAAGGATATTTACCTTACCTCCCTGCACAAGGCCGTTTTTAATGCGGGGTCAAAACCGAGCCCGTAGAGTTGGGCAAAAATTCCCCGTAGACCCCGTAAAATAGGGTAGCGTAACCGTCTACCACCACAGACGAGACTCTGCCCTTCGGCATAGCTTCGTCCTGGTTCCTCTCTGTCCGAAGGCGGAGTGTTCGACTAGCAGAGCTGGAGACGAATCTCGAACTAATTGCTGAAGCAAGGATATTTGCCAACCGCCCCACGCGGTCAGATGTGGCACAAGGCCGAATTTAACGCGGGGTATTCTATCCCGTAGGCTCGGGCAAAAATTCCCCGTAGAACCCGTAGAAAACGGGGTCGGGTAGCTGTCTACCACCCCAGACGAGACTCTGCCCTTCAGCATAGCCTCGTGTGGGTTTCTCTCCGCCTGAATGCAGAGAGTTTGACTAGCTTAGCTGGAGACGAATCTCCAATTAAATGCCGAAGCAAGCCCCCAGGTATATCCTGTGATCACTATATATATATATATATATATACTGATATAGTCAGTTAACATAGGCGATATGGAGTGTGGGACATTCTATTACAGCAGATTCTCATAATGGGGATAGATGTCTTATGGGTAAGGAAAACTCGGATGAGTTACACCACGGAATTTGTGAAGAGTCTAATTCGTTACCTCAACGTCACCGAGGCACGTTGGTACAGTTGGTATGACGGTCCGGGTTCAATTCTCGGTAGTGTATGCGCCCTGCTGATGGCTCCCAAATATACGACGAAACGGCCATCCAGTGCTTTCTGCATTCTGTGGAGATTTCTTCTAGACTCGATGTATTATTTAATTATGATATATATATATATATATATATATATATATATATATATGTGATAATTCAGGAAATAATTTATAGACTACGCGTTTTGTTCGCCTTCATTAGATAGACTTCTTCGGATGAGAATGAAAGAATACTGTGTGTTTTAATATTAAATAGTTGATATCTGTCTGTTAAAGCTGGCTTCTTCAGGTCGGAATGATAAAACAAAACTGTATGATTTTTGTACTAAAACCGTTCACAATGAAAGAACAAAGTTTTGTGAGTTTTTGTACTAAAGTCGTTAATATCTGTTAGGCGACATCTGAAATTGCTTGATGGTGTTTTGCAGGGACTACGCATTAGATAATCATTATTAAAATACACAGAAGCATAGGTTGAATGTTTGAGAAAAAACATGAAAGCAGTAACGCTTAAAGAACAGTTATATAAGTATATTAGGCCCACACAAAACTTTTGCCATCAAATCCCAATATCGTAAGATTTTGGGAAACATGAAATCATATCGAGACGACACCCAAGGAGGAAAAAGAAAGTCGGATGACTTGTAAAATCAGGGTTACTCAAAGCTGGCGGATCTAGCTTCTGAAGAAGAATGGTTTGGTTTGGTTTGGTTTGTTTTACAGCATGTCAAATCCTCAATGGTTTATTTAATGCCGACGAGATTTCTGGGATAGGTTCATATGAATAGAATATATATTCTTTGTAAGAAATCAGTTTGTAGGAGATTTGGTTTCGTTTATTTTATTTTACGGCATATCAACCTCAATGTGTTATTTAATGCCGACAAGATTTTTAAGATAGGTTCGTATGAATAGAATATGTATTCTTTGGTATAGTTTTGTTTGGCTTGTTTTGTTTTACGACATATCAACATCAATGGTTTATTTAATGCCGACAAGATTTTAAGGATAGGTTCATATAAATAGAATATATATTCTTTGTAAGAAATCAGTTTCTTGGAGATTTGGTTTCGTTTATTTTTTACGGCATATCAACACCTCAGTGGGTTATTTAATACTGAAAAGTTTTTTTTTGCAATAGGTTCGTATGTATAGAATATATATTCTTTGTAAGAAATCACTTTGTAGAAGATGTGGTTTGGTTTATTTTGTTTTATGGAATATCAACACCTCAATGGGTTATTGAATGCCGGCAAGATTTCTAGGATAGATTCGTATGTATAGAATATATATTCTTTGTTAGAAATCACTTTGTAGAAGATGTGGTTTGGTTTATTTTGCTTTACGGCATATCAACATCTCAATGGGTTATTTAATTCGGACAAGATTTCTAGGATAGATTCGTATGTACAGAATATATATTCTTTGTAAGAAATTACTTTGTAGGAGATTTGGTTTCGTTTATTTTGTTTTTCCGGTATATCAACACCTCAATGGGTTATTTAATGCCGACAAGATTTTTATTGCTGGTAGTATTTTTCTTCAAATATGTATTTGCTGGTGATTTTTTTTTCTTCAAAAATTCATTACTGGTACTAATTATCTACAAAAATGTATTGCTGGTAATGTTTATTTTCTTCAAAAATCTATTACTGATAAAAATTTCCCTAAAAAAATTATTGCTGGTATTAAAGCCTATTTTTACACTATCATAGTGTTTTGACCACAGTTTGGGAGTTAACTATTCGCCCTTAACTTTGGACTCTAACAGGTGCTACAACCCCGGGTCAGGGAGGACCTGGGAACACCAGCAATTAAGAGGTGGTCCCAACGCTCCTCAAATCTTCCTGATCAGAGGCCTTGCTGCCGGACGTAGTTTATCGTCCTACCCAGGATGTTCTAAAGAAGAGAAGAGTCGGGAGAGAATATAATGAATAAAATGTGGGTTAAATTCTTTTATTCCAACCGGAAGACGTCGGCCTAATAGACAAATATTAAGTATTTAATATTAACACACACACCCATGGACACACACACCCATAAGCACAAACACAAATGTCTTTCATTCTGACTCGAAGAAGCTTATCTAACGAAGGCGAAACGCGCAGTCTATGAAACAGTTTTCCACTTTATCACTGGATATCGGAGTGAACAATATATATGGCCGTTCCTTGTCATGTTTTAGGGTTTACTTGTCCCAGTGATCCCAGAAACGTAGCAGTCTGGAGTTCCAACTCCTGTAGAACTACCCATCACCGTAAGGTCGAAGAGAAATGACCAGACTGAACCCAATCCTCATCGCAATAGGCAAAGATCTACAAGATCTCATCGGCTAAACCAGGGGAAGAGGGCGTCGCCAGTGAAACTGACGCAAACAAAGCGGATCTTGACAGACCAAGGATCCGACTGCACGATGCAACCAGGTTTACCAGATCTCGTCTGTCTCAATCCCCTTTGAGCCGCGAGGGAGGCAATTACGTTCTAGTGTGTTGGCTTCTCCATCGCGCAGAATTGTCCATCAAAATCAAATTCGCGCGAATGGCCTCATCAAACTCTCTTTGATTCACAGCCATCTAAACCTTATTTTCAATCTTAAATGTTAATCTGGGCCTAAATTCGAATTCAAAATTAAACTCAGTTGTGTGCTATACGTGTGACACGTTTAGGCGATCATGTATCTTTCGATACATGACAGATGAGGCAGATTTTTTTCCCGCCTGTTGACATTTCTTTCTGCGGAAGATCACTTGCCATCTAAGGCTATAGAACCTGTCCTGCTATTTATCCATAGAAGAGGAGGTTTCATACCTTTCTCAAGGGCATCAGCACGTAAAAGTAATGGATTCAACTGGAATTCGAACTCGGTTCTCCAATTCCTCAATCCGAGCCGCTATCCATTACTGATTCCTGCTACAATCTATTTAAATATTTTAACAAATTTATTTACATATTTATATGTTCCTATATAAAGTTCTTACTTCATTTTCCATTTCATTGATATGTATTATTTTTATTAGTACTTTATTTTATTTTATCATGGCATATTTTATTAGTATTCATATTAGTAACAGTTTAGATAGTTTAGTAATACTAATATTAATATTAGTAATATTATTAAATAATCTTTTGATTTTCGAAAAAAATAGAGTTACCTCCCTTAATTTTCTAACGCCCATTTTTGTTTATATTGTGAGACCGGAAACTACCTACACAATAGACTCTTCCAAGCCTATATTAAGGAGGCGACATAGCACTCTAGACAGAGACACACAGTTACACTGAGCGACATAGAAGTGACATACTGATTGATATAGTAAGCTCTGCTTACACTATCTCTGTAGCCTGTTGTTAATATATCTTTCTTACATCTAATCCGTGTTACGTGTTTTATTTCTGTGGTCCCAACTTTGGCCCCACATCAGTTTACTTACTTTTTTAACATCAGCGTCTCTCTAAATTAGAATTTTTAATTCTTATTTTCAACCTTATTTTCAAACTTAAATAGCCTAAATTCAAATTCAAAATTAAATTCTACTTCTTTCGCTAAATTCAATGCCCATTCGAATCTCGGTGTGGCATTTTCCATCATCAATTAAAACACTTCCCAGATATTTTAACTTTTGCACCTGTTTTGATATTGACATCTCTAATTTGTGACGCACATCTGCGGGTTTTGTTTTTTTTTTTTTTTCATTTGCTGATGACAATACATTCTGCCTTCTTGCAGTTGACAGTCTTTTTTTTTCTCACATTCTTCTACAACCCCCGCCCCTGTCTAGGAGGTCCTCTAGTTTTCTTGCGGTGTCGTCTGCCTATCTTATATTTTTAAGATTACACCCACCGATAATAAAACCTGATAGGGTCTACAGTTTCGTTAGGATAACATCGTTAAAAAGGTTAAATAAATCTGGGAAATGGCATATACTTTTGTCACGCTACTTTCTAAATTTAATTTGTAGATTTTTTTACATGTATCTGAAGTGATAGAAATGTTTTTATTATTATTTTTGTTATTATTATTATTATTATTATTATTATTATTTTCCAAAGAAAAAAGTTGAAAATCAAAATGCAAAAAGCATCCTTGAAAATAGTTAATAGAATAGCCGAAAGTGCACGAATATATAGAACATTTCCACACATTTTACGCAACTTATGTACAGAAAAGAATTCACTTTTACGTACACAAGAAAAATTGTATAAAAAGCTTAATCGTGGTACATTATCAGTCGCTTATAACAGAACTCGTATAAAAAAAGGATTGCTGGCCAAATTCGAAATTATATATATATATATATATATATATATATATATATATATATATATTAAAATGGACAAAGTCCGACAATTACTTTAAGATATTTTTATGTTTATACATACAGAGGAGCGTTCGGTTATCAAGGTCGAATTTACTGGCTCTTAAACTTCAATCTTCCATGAATCTCTCACGTACATTCATATCTGCTTATGGCGTATCAAAATGTAAACAAATGACGAACGGTGCTCTGTGGCCGAAAAATAACCGACCTTGTGTCACATGTTGCCCCAGTGGGGGGGGGGGAATGAATATTGTCAGTCAGTCGCTCGCTTTCTCGACCGACTGTTCGGTTGAACTCTCTGCCTTCGGGCGGAGAGGAACCCGAACGAGGCTACGCCGAAGGTCGGAGTCTCTTTCGGGGAGGTAAACCGGCCCTGAGCCCGTTTATACGGATTCAATGGGCATATTTCAAGTCAGGGAAAGGTGGGAGTGTCTGACTTGACATCTATGAAAGTAACTCTGTGCTGATACTTATTATTAACACCCAACACACGCCTACCCAATTTAAACAATTCGCCCTAGCTGTTACCATGGAAATTTTGATTTCAATTATTAAAACACGTAAATTTCAGAAATACGTTATTCCAAAAATAAAAAAAAAATTCGCTTGAAGATGGAACAGAGCTTACTTTAACTCAATTTAATTCAAATAATTATATTGAAGTTTTCGGCTCTTGTTTTGAAACATGAGACCTCTTATGTCGCGAGTTGGAATCATATTTTTAAATAAATAAATAATTATATATATATATATATATATATATATATATATAAGATAATAATCCTAAGGAGCCAGGCAAAACTACCTAGGGTGAAATACACTAAACATAAACACACACACATATCTAGCTGGCATGCATACGTTGGTAAGCAAATAAATAATCACCAAATTATGTCAAGAGGTGCAAACATAGTAGTTCTCAATCTGATTAAACAAAGCAAAGAAATATATATTAATAAATATATATATACCTAAGTTTGGTGTGCGACTTAAGTTTCGTTGGTTACCCAACTCGTCAGGCACAAGATATGGCTTATTGTTTATTTTTTAAAAGTATACAGATGCTTATGAATTGAACGCTAATTCATATTTCAAAATTAAAATAGTAGAAAAATAGTACTAATGTAATACTGGGTGCTTAAGTGCAGGAAAGGAGGTTTAGGTATGAGTCAATAATAAAAAAAAATAAAAAAAGTGAACTGAAAGGTATCTGTGAAAAACGCTGTTTTGAAAAGACATATAACATTGAGAGGGAATGTTATGTATATATGTGTGAGGGAGAGAAACAGTGACAGAGAAATTACTGAAATCCTCGTACTGACACTGATGAGCTGTGATACAACGAAAGAGTCTGCCTGTGGATGACAATATATACGCCCCCGAGAAACTAAAATTTAGTCGAGCACTTTGCGGGGAAAACGCGAAGTTTTAAACTGTAACTTCTACTTCTGATAGTGCAAAGCTCTTCTATGAATCGAGCACTCTGCGTCACTGGCGTGTCTATTCAAAAACGAATACGTAACAATTCACCTTCTTCTCTGTCGGCAGCTGATCGCTTGGGGGAAAAATCTCCGACTCGGATTTTGATCCTGGCTTAGGGCAATCTGATGCCTAGTCACACTGATGAGCTATGATACAGCGAAACAGTCTGTGTGTGGATGACATATATATATATATATATATATATATATATATATATATATATATAATGTTAGATATCTGTGAAAGAACATGACTGTCTACGTTTTGAAAAAACATATAACATAGAGAAGGATTGTGTGTGTATGTGTGTGAGAAGGAAAATAGTGACAGATTTTTCTGTTGCTTAATACTTTGCTTAGCTTTTGTAAAACATCTTTAGCCATTCCAATATGTCTTCGGATCTCAGTATCGCACTTTCCGTCTTCTGATTCCTATCTTCCCCTGTCTGCTATCAACACTGTCTCATCTGTATATCTTATGTTGCTAAGATTGTAGCCGCTGATAATTAATCTTGTTATGATATCTAATTCTCTCACATTTGCCTCGTTGTATAGGTGGGATAATTCTGATAATAAGACTTATTCTTGTCTTATAGCCCTTTCTGTTTTTGTATATCTGCTGAAAGCATTTCCTATCCGTATGCAGGTGGCTTGCTACCAGTATAGATTTTTGAAATATTCTAATATCCTTCCTGGGCAATTCTAACATATCTTTGTGGCGTAATTTATAGAATGCCTTTGCGTAATCTATAAAGCACAGATACACATCCTTCAGCATTTGTATTGTTATTTCTGCTTTTATCCAGAGCATAAATATTGCGTTCCTTGTTCCATTGTCTTTGACAAACCCGCACTGTTCTTGCCCTATGTCCAGTCTGATTCTGCTGTGCGCTCTATTTATCAGAATTCGGATGATGAGTTTTGTTATATGGCTTATTAGGCTGTGTATCTGATGGAGTTCACATTCGTTTGCACCGTGTTTGAAAATAGTTTTATGTTTTCCGGTTTATCGCCACTGTTGTAGATTTCATTTATTATTTCTGTAATCTTGTATATGCCGAAATCATCTAAGGATCTTTGTTACGATTCCGTCTGGCCCTGCCACTTTATTTCTGTTCAATTTGGCCAGTGATGCTTCCACTTCGGTTTTTAATGTTTCCGGTCAGTCAATATTTCTGTGTATTACTGGTGGAAGACTTCTCCGATGTATTCGTTCTATCTATCAAATATTTTTTCTTTCTCTAATATTATCGTTCAGTCCTTGGATTTTATGCATCCTGATGATGAGAGCATGTCTTTTGTCGTGTTAAATCACTTAATTTTTATGCATATTTTCTTTATTTGAGATACTCACTCCTTCTGAACATTTTTCGTTGAGTTATTCCTCTTTAGCCTGCCTGCATTCGTTCCCTAGTTCTTTGTGTAGTGTATCATATTCTCTTCCGTGCCTTGGTGTTGTTGTTTTGTTTTGTTTTTTTTTTTTTTTTTTGTATCCTTTTCATCATGTAGAGAATTTCATCAGTCATCCATTCATTTTTATCTGGTACATTCGTTCCATCTGTGAAGGATTTTTTTCTTTCTCTGGTATCATTGTTCCGGCCTTTGTTTTGTATGAATCGACAGCACAAAGTACAGAAGAATTTCATTATTCTTGTATTATTGTTTTTCACCTTGGTTGATATGGATGTTACATGCACAAGGCTTCATATGTAATAATCATCTCTATCAACAAAAATGAGAACATTACTTCGAAATAAAAAATGTATATTGGTAAATATCATGGTAGTGACACTGAATGCCAAGGTTCCAAAAATACAGCACTGTTGGCGTAGTGGATATAGATGTTGGATATATTTGTGTGTAATCTAACAGTCGTGAGTTCAATCCCTGGATCAGATAATACTGGTTCAGCAAGAATGAGCAATAACTGGCATCACAGGAACAAAAATAAAACAATAATCAACAGAGAGTACATATCAGTCAAAGAAAGAACTTCTGAAGATGGCAAGAGGGTAACTGGCCGAAACATTGTGTCTATAATTAAAAAAAATCTATATAAACCACGATGAGAACAACAGTTCGAAATAATCTCATTACAATTCCGCTTGGCTCTCCCTCGGTTCCTTATCACGACCGTTACGCCCTGCCAATATATCTTAAATAATGGACTATTCTGTTTTGATCGTGTGGAAAGAAAAAAATATATATATGAAAGACGTTACTTGGATTCAGTGAGAAAAAGAAAAAAAGGAATGAACGTAGTGTTTTACGCCTGTTTCATCGAAATGGAAAAAGTTATCAATTTCAAATGTTTTCAGTTGTACCCCCTTACTTCTTAAAATAAGAACAAGCTTTCATATTTACCAAGTTAAAATTGCTAAGCTCAAGTATTTAACGAATCGGTAGGGGAAATTCTACGGGTATTTTATTGTTGTAGAACTTGCCATGAGCTTGTTCGGTCATTAACTTAAAAATCATATTCATCAGAAAATGAAAATAGGAAAACTGTGAAATTTTCACGTGTATTCTAGTAAAAGTATATTGACAATTTCTCATCTCAGAAATATGATGCTAAGTTATGTTTATATTCCGATTCCTGAAGCAACAAGACGCAACGAGAATACCGAAGCAACGAGACTCAACGAGAATACCGAAGCAATGAGACTCAACGAGATTACCGAAGCAATGAGACTCAACGAGAATACCGAAGCAACGAGACTCAACAAGAATACCGAAGCAATGAGACTCAACGAGAATACCGACGCAATGAGACTCAACGAGAATACCGAAGCAACGAGACTCAACGAGAATACCGAAGCAGCGAGACTCAACGAGAATACCGAAGCAATGAGACTCATCGAGAATACCGACGCAATGAGACTCAACGAGAATACCGAAGCAACGAGACTCAACGAGAATACCGAAGCAGCGAGACTCAACGAGAATACCGAAGCAATGAGACTCAACGAGAATACCAAAGCAATGAGACTCAACGAGAATACCGAAGCAATGAGACTCAACGAGAATACAGAAGCAACGAGGCTCAACGAGAATACCGAAGCAATGAGACTCAACGAGAATACCGAAGCAACGAGACTCAACGAGAATACCAAAGCAGCGAGACTCAACGAGAATACCGAAGCAACGAGACTCCACGAGAATACCGAAGCAATGAGACTCAACGAGAATACCGAAGCAACGAGACTCAACGAGAATACCGAAGCAATGAGACTCAACGAGAATACCGAAGCAACGAGACTCAACGAGAATACCAAAGCAATGAGGCAGAAGATTCGTTTTCTGTGGCCTTCCTTCTACGGGAAGACAGGAAAAAACGTTGCTTTTACCTTCTGAGGCTTCAGAGTCACCTGCTTAATTGCTGAAGTCGTGCGGGGGCGGGAGGTAGGTATAGGACCGAGATAAGAACAGCCTCGACAGTAATCAGATAAATATTGATAAGCAATGTGAAAAATAGCGATACGAAAGCTGCACCAAATGACTTGACCTCCAGCGCCATGTTCGATTCTTTGGTTGGTAACAGTCTGAAGTGGGGATCAGATTATTGTAGAAACGCTTGCTTAATAAGTTAAAATAATAATGAAACCGAAGAAGAAAGAAAAACAGCGAAATGATACCATTAATTCCCAAACGCCGGACTGCTTCCATGGACATTATACTGGATAATTGTCCTAATTCCAGATGGACGCTGCTAACAAATTCAATAGAAAACCTTTCGTTGTATTTGTCATTGCGCTACATGCTATTCATATCTAACATAACTGGCGCTATCGTCTTTGTTTATTTGGTGGTTTTACACATGAACAAAAGTAACGATTATTAAAACTGCACTAAGTTTGCGGTTAAATCACGTTGAAAACACCAGTTCTTGATCACCGAAGTTAATTTATCAAACAGTTACTAAGATGGGATATCGTTTGGAAATAACAAGGGCTATGATCAATCTTCTTCTTCTTCTTCTTCTTCTTCTTCTTCTTCTTCTTCTTCTTCTTATATGTGCAATATCCCTTCATGACGCTAATCATCATGGCTCTCCACAATTTCCTGCCCTTTGTAGCTCTTAATAAATTTTCCCATTTTGTTATCTCTCCTAAACCTTGTTCCGCCATCCATTTACTCAAGCTCATTCTTCTATTTTTCTATGTGCCGTGTCTCTTCAGGACATTGGCGATCATGGCTCTCCACAATTTCCTGTACTTTGTAGCTCTTAATAAATTTTTGGTCTGTTATCTCTTCTAAAACTTGTTCCGCCATCCATTTACTCAAGCTCATTCTTCTACGTTTTCTATGTGTCGTGTCTCCTCAGGACGTTGGCGATCATGGCTCTCCACAACTTCCTGCCCTTTGTAGCTTTTTTCTCCTTTTGTTACCTCTCCTAAACCCTGTTCTACCATTACTAGGAGGTTATACGTTATTTTCCTCTGTCCTTCTTGCCTTCAACGTGTCCTGTGAGTATGAAATTATCCAAGTTTTATTTCCGCATCATGTGCTCTAGAAATTTCAACTTTCTCTTTCTAGTGTTAAGTATTAGTTTTCTTTTTTCTTCCATTTTTTCTTAGACTTCCTTCTTGCTCACATGTTCAATCCATGGTATTCTCAGCAACATTTTATATAACCACATTTCTGTTGGGTTTAGTCTCTGCTTCATCTTTGAGGAAATTATTCAGCATTCACTGCCATATAGGAGTGCTGATATTATAGTACTTTTTTTTTTTTGTTTCTAGCGAAATTTTCTTGTTTCTTAATATTTTGCTTAGCTTTTGGAATGCATCTTTTGCTATCCCAATACGCCTTTGGATTTCAATGTCGCACTTTTCATCCTATTTAAATTGTTAGTGATTTACGCGTTGGGGTGTTCCTTTTACACAAACTAGTTACATGGGTTTCCTTTGTTCATTTCTCTTCAATATGACGTTGGCGATAATGGCTCTCCACAGTTTTCTGTCATTTGTAATAAATTTTGTTTTTTCGTTATCCATCCTAAACCCTCTTCTACCATCAATTTACACAAGCTCGCTAGGTAGACTATGACCATCCTACCTTTAATCTGTTCCCTGAAAGTCTAATTTTCCAGGTACTCTTTCCTCATTATGTACCTTAGCAATTTCAACGGTCTTAAATTCGTAAAGTGTAGATAACAAAGAGGAAAGTTTATCAGAGCAATTAAATTAAATTGCGACAGTGGGGAAGTGACTGAAGCCGAGGTGACACGTCAACACCCATAACATTGCAAATTCTCCTTTGAATTTTATCAAGATTCTCGAAATACTGCTGGTAAGCTCAAATATTGAAAGATTTACTGATGAATCGGAGAGCAGGGATCGAATTCCAGTCGAATCCATTACATTCACTTACGTGCTAATACCCTTGGGAAAGACATGAATCCTCTTCTTCTCCTCCCCCACAGCTATGGGTAAATAGCAAGATAGACTGGGTTCTATAACCTTGGATGCCAACTGGTCTACCGCAGAAAGAAATGGCAACCTACTGCGGGGAAAAAATTGCCTCGAAAGATACATGATTGCCTAAGCGTGTATCACGCATGGCACATAACTGACTGAGCTACTATTATTTATTTATTTGCAGAATTAGTTTCTTCAACAACTCCTTCAACTCATGTGTGAGGTCTGATCGAAAAGTATCAGGACTGGTGATACAAAAAGAAAACTACAACATATATCAATTCGGCATTTAATCTCCTTCGAAGTAGTCTCCATCTGAAGCCACACAATTTATCCAGCATCGTTTCCATTTATGGAAGTGTTCCTGGGCCTGCTTTGGGGGGGTAGCGAGCAGATGCCTCGTCACATCCTCTTAGATGACGTCGACGTCTTGAAAGCTTTTTACTTTTCTTTCTATAATTTTATATAATTTTATATGTCAAGAAACTGTACTGAGAGAAAATAGTATAACAAATAAAAAGAACTTTTTGTGACGCGTTTCATCAGGTGAAACGCATCACAAAAACTCCTCCCTCCAATTTGTTATACTATTTTTTCAATATATATATTTAGGTGGTATATCTTCATTCAAGCTTTTTTGGTTAACTAATCGAGACTTATTATGTCCATCTATTTTTATTTCAATTCTTTCGATTAATTTAATTCAAAGACGATTTGATGTACGTAGTTCCTTATTTTCCATACAAACAATTATTTTTATTTCATAAGTGACAGAACAGGGGACAATTTATAAGATAAAATTAATTCAGTGTAAAGATAAGAAAATAGAAATTAGAATTACTTATACATTCAACATTTGAAGAGTTACAGAAACATAATTGCTAATTAAGTAAAACCTATATTATGGAATCTATGTGAATAAATGCGAAATTGGAACTCAATTCTCCCACAAATTCTGAGATTCAAAAAAAAAAAGCCCATCTCTACTTTATACGCTGACAGCTCAATATCTATATTATATATTATTTCCTTCTAGGCAATATACATTCATGATTCAATGGGAACAACTTTTATTTTACTTTTGTATCCAAAATTGCAGTTCCCATTTTATCATAAATAGCTTAAAAGCCGCTCTATCGGGCGGCATTTAAGCTAGCTCCTGTGGAGGACTCTTGGTTTGGCCATCATCAAATTAACTATGGAGGAGTAGATGCCATAGGCATCAATAAACTACAGAAGAACTCAAAATTGATCGTTGCATTTAAGTATTGAATTAAGATCTGCGTACATCAAATTGTCTTTAAATTCAGTGGCAGTAGAAGAATTATCGTTGAACTTTTAAAATGTAATCTTATATTTTAAAAATTCAACTGCTGCCACAGAAGAATTATCGTTGAACTTTTAAAATATAATCTTACATTTTTAAAAGTTCAACGATAATTCTTCTGCTGCCACTGAAAGACAATTTGATGGACGCAGATCTTTATTTTCGGTACAAATAGTTATTTTCATTTTATGGAGAACAGAACAGGGGGCAATTTATAAAATAAAATTAATATAGTGTAAAGATAGGAAAATAGAAATTAAGAATTACTTATACATTCAACATCTGAAGAGTTAGAGAAATATAATGGCTAATTAAGTAAAACATATATTATGGAATTTATACATTATTTACATTAAACTCATCTCAGAAATATAGACAGACTCTATGGAATTTATCTGAATAAATAGGAAATTGGGGCTAAATTCTCCCGCGAATTATGAGATTAAAAAGCCCCAGGTCTACTTTATAGTAATTTGCATTTACTCAACTCCCCCACCACGAGGTCAAGCTGTGACACAAGGTCGGTTTAATGTGGGGAACCCGAGCGCGTACACCCGGGCTTGGAACAAAAATTCTCCGAGCCACCGCAACAGTCGGTTGCGTTGGCCTCGGTGTGTGCACAATTCCGTCTGTCTAGTGTAATGAGAGGGCGCGGTTTCGGGCACCTGTTCCCCAGGGCCGGCACCTCTGAGTATAATTTTTCTCAGTTGCGACTCTGTCGTTTGACAGAGTCGCAACTACTTTATAGTAATTTGTATTTACTCAACCCCCCACGAGTTCAGGTTGTGACACAAGGTCGCTTTAATGTGGGGTGCCCGAGCGTGTACACTTGGACTAAGAAAAAAAATTCCCGAGCCCACGCAGCCGTCGGTTGCGCTGGCCTCGGTGCGTTCTCGATCCCTCTCTCGAGTGCAATGAGAGGGCGTGGTCTCGTTTAGCTGTTCCCCAGAGCTGTGCACCACTCAGTATGAAATTACCACAAAAATAGCCATTTTGTTTCAACACTTCTGGTGTCTCATCCAACAGACACCAGAAGCATTGAAACAAAATGTTTATTTTTTTAGTGATTTTATAACATATTTATGTTATAATTTTCGAATAAATTATATATATACACACACACACACATATATATATATATATATATATATATATATATATAATTTATTCGAAATATATATATATATATATAATTTATTCGAAATATATATATATATATATATATAATTTATTGAAAAATATATATATATATATAATTTATTCGAAATATATATATATATATATATATATATATATATATATATATATATATATATTCAGTTGTATGGATATGAATTTGTACCCATGGGTTTCATGCTTTTGCGATCATCAAACTGTTTTTTTAATAATTGAATCTATTTATGTTAGTTTGTGATTTGTGTTTGATTACGTTTGGTGGTTGTAGGGAAATTCTCCTTTGTTTCTGTTTTGGGATGACAATCTTGCGCACGCAGACCTACATACATACAGGTGTACGCATGTATGTATGTCTGCATGCGTATGTGTGTCGTGCCAGCAAATTCAGGAGTTCTTTTCTTATCAGAACGATCAGAGTGAGTTTTACCTCTTTAATCACCATTAGACACTATCCAGCTCTTTCCGAATCCTCTGCACTGTCTTCCAGATTGACATCCAAACATTCTGAAATGAAATTCCAGTGCAAATGCCAAGCAGTACAGCATGCCGTTTGTAAATTTCTGGCGATGTGTCATGGTGCTATTTTTCTTTCTAATGGTGTTCAACTGACCCTGCTACACTGTGAAGTCGACAAAATCAAAAACAAACAACGCGCATGCGCGAAATTAAAAATATAAAATGGCGATAATTTACCCACCGTGTGTGTGAGATGAAAATATGGTTTCCTTCTTCTATGTATCGCGTTCCTT